TGAATGTACATACACGTGTAGGCAGTCGCATATGTATGAGAGAGCTGCTGTAATGAAAATGATACAGTCAACAATACATGTGTATATAGATGTTGTATGCGTATACATGCGCACATATCGCGTTTCTGCTGGCGCACACACTTTAGCAGTTGCTGCTGCTATACATACAGGCGCTCGTCTCTTGGAGCTCTCATCCTCGCGCGCGTCTATGAAAGCGTAGGCAGTGGTACACGTTGGCGTGAGATAGGACGGTGCCTGTCGCTCGAACCTCCGAAATATCAATATAACGTTCATTCGATATTACATGCACTTTGTTCCAAATTTATGGCTCCTCGATAATGAATGCGTCACGTTTATGTTTGTTTTGATATATGATCAATAATCGGCTGCGAAGGGGAAGATTGCGCTTACGCAATTAAGTAGCTGCATTTGTACATTTACGCGGAAGATAAAGTCATCCCGAAATCAATAAATACGCGAGCTTTTACTTTGAAAACATGTCGAGTATCGCAACTGCGGCCCGAGCTACGTCAAACCGAATATATTATCAGCGGCTGCACGCGCGCAGTAAGTACGATAAATGTCACGCGCAATGCCTATGGCCGATCGCTAAGTGTGACGATAAACGCGTGTATACGCTCGATGACATCTCATTTTGTACTCTAGTTGAAGTAAAAATTCGATCAAATCCCGTTTACGCTTCGACGAGAGAGCGAACGGAGCTCCGAACGCATTTTGTCGTCCGTCGCAATCGAGCGAACTTTACAAATCGCGTACGTTTTAAAAGAGACGCGTATGCAATTATCGATAAAATCTCGAAAAATCAGTTGCGTGTCAAAATTGCTAATATAATCAACTAATCGTCTTTCAAAGCGGGCTCCACCGCGAAAAAAAAATTGATGTTTCAACACATCTTCTTTCTCCTCTTGCACAGGCATCTTTAGAAAAATGAAAAAAAAACCTCCAAAATAGCCTAAAAAAATCACGGCATGGCTCACGCATGCGGTCGATAATAATCGCTCGAGTTTTGCAAATGCAAGCCACACACATCTTTCGTTCATGTTTTTTCCGAGGCAAGTGTGTGAGGTAATTTGCTCGGGTGCGAATCGAAGTCAGAAAAGAAACCACGCGAGAGCTTGCGTATATACCTATGGCGTCGACTCAATTATTTCGTTGCTGCTGCTGTTGCTGCTACGGCAGAGCCACGCGTGCCCGACGATACGTAGCGAGCAATTTAGTCCTCGTTTGCTCAACTAGATATGCACGTGTAATGTGTGCGCTCCAAGTGCGAGCTAAAGAGAGAGAGAGAGAGAGAGAGAGAAAGAGCCCACCGTATGCTGCAGTGGAGCTCTATGGCGAACGCGCGCGAGTGCGTGCGAATATTCCATCATTAATATTTACGGGATACTGAGCATTGTGTTGCTGTTGTTGTTGCTGCTGATGCTGCTGCTGCTGGTGCTGTTGCTACTCGAGATCGTGAACCAACCTGATTAATACCAGAATACTCTGCAGCTTTACATGTATATCATAGGCGAATATTTAGTGCATAAACATGCTGCAACCTATTGGATTTCAGCTATTAAGATCATAATGGAGCGCAAAGAGGATAACGATGATTAGCTGTGTCGAATTCAGTTGCATCGCGGCTCTTATACAGGATCTTGGACCCCCGTGGCAAAATCATAGCCCGAGCGGATGTTTGCGATATTTGTCATTCATTAACTTTATCGCTATCTCTCTCTCTTTTTCTTTCTACTTCTAGTGTGAAAGAGTCCTTTTCAACAGTTGTAAACAAAAAAAGGCGCATTTATTTCGCAGAAATGGGTATGGCTCGGTTCTTTGAATGCACTAGCGTACGAAAGCCAGAGCGCATGAAAGGACGCTCTATATAATAGACTTTAAATACACATATATCTATATATAAATCTAGTTCATTATAAGCATTGTGCATATTATGCCCGCAAAGAGTAATTAAGAGATAAAGTGCGTGTGTGTACGAGCTAGTGTGCGCGCGTTTATGGGTGTACGTTTGTGTGTAAGTACGGGCGACAGTGATAAACGACTTCATCGATCAGAGACACATATTCAGGTTCGCGCGCGCGGGAATTCGCCACAGGTCGCTTATATACTACATACGCGATGCAATTCTATGGAATATACGTGTGCGCGTACCCTTGGCACCTATACCTTTATACGATCGATTGAATTAGCAAATTGCCTCGATCGACTTTTCCCCCTCCATCCCCACAGCCAAGCAAAATGAATGATTTTTTCTTTTTAATAAAAGCGATCGCGACTGTTGGCGCACAAATACCTATATTTATAATACCCAATTCGATATTTATTATAAACGCGTAACGAATGCGCCGCGACGCGCAATTAATTGAACTGATCGCCTCTTCAATGAACTTTTTGCTGTTTTCCGCTTGTATTCGTATGTACAACGCGATTAAATATTCGAATTAAATTTCATTTGGGCCGAATCACCGGCATAAACTGTTGCTCGCCGCTTTTATTTTATTCAAGCACGCCGCCGCTGCTGCTGCTGCTGCTGCTGCAGCCGATGCTCGATACTTTGTCGCGTTCGATTCAGACAGTCTTATACGCGGCTTCTCTTGCATAAGAGCCGAGCTTACACGCGCTCCAGTGTGAGCGAGCCTATATAGCACAGCAGCTAATCCAAGTCTCTTTTCCACTTTTCTCTCTCTCTCTCTCTCTCTTTCCCTCTCACTCTCTACGAGCAGCGGCACGAAATTCAATTAATTTTTCATTAACCCCGATCAATTCGGTTTGCCTCGCTGTAATTTGCTTATCCGAGTGGCCTGCTTATCTATAGCGAAAATTCCCTCCTGTGTGGGTGTCTGGCTATCTGCTATTATATGCACCTATGTACTGTCGATATATGTATGTGTGCGGGCTTTGGCTGCTACTGCTGCGTGCCTTTGCCGCATTAATTACTTCGATGCTTAATTCTTATGGATAGATTGCTTGACTGATGTTCCGTACCGACAATTTTCACTTGGATAAATCAATTATTTTGTCATTAAAATGCATGAAAAAGTTGTTATTACGCCGCATGTAGATCTGTCGAGCGATGATGAATGAATTGCAGAAAAAGTGTATTATAACAAGTGGTGACATAAGTCATAACTGATATCTACGATGACTTTTATTGATAACGGAAACCTTTCCATAAGAATGAAAATATACTAGAAGGTGGATCTTATGTAAACCAAAAGGGTTGCACTCGTTTCATAGCGCTCTGCCATGCAATGCAGGTAAAAATACGATGTCGGTTATTTCCTCTGTTTTGGAAAAAAAAACATGTTAACGGTTATCAGTTATATAAGGACAATCGCCTTCCCAAGGAAAATATCGTTAAACGATTTTATCGATGTTTTATTACAAGTTTGAGTAACTCAAATTTCTCAATTTCGTGAAGTGCATTATAATTGCCAGATTTAATATCCCTAAGAAACGAGCACGTTTATTGCCAAGTATTTATTTATCGGCAAATTTATCAGTTATATTACGGATTTGTACCCCAAAAAATTTCCTTTGATTTCTCGACAATTTTCCACGTTTAAATCGAATGTCAGGGCATACACCTTTGAATACATACGCGAGTTTTCATTTGCATAAAGTCAATTGAATGTAAATTCTATAAAAAGATTCGCATGAACTCTTGAAAGAAAGTCGAAAAAATATAGTGAAATAAAAATGTGACGTAAATCGAAAAAAGTGAAAGGGATCGAAACGTCAAGAAGGAGCAGGACTCTTTTTCTCGAGACTTTTTGTCGTTTTTTTTTCTTTTTCGTTCCCTTCACGACAACTATTGCAATGAATTTTTCACATATATAAATGATTCATGCAAAAGATTAAAAAGTGAATCTATAAACGTCTTAGACGTTTTGTGCTGCTTTTGAGATCAATACTTGACGAAAAAAATTAGATTTCTTGGGCTTGTATTCCATATCATTTCAATTGAGTTGTGACACATTAAGTATGCGCATGGCCCTACCTCGAAATAGCGCAACTGTCATCGTTACAGATGTGCAATTACTGAAATCAAGCAATGCAATCATAAAAGCCGAAATTTCGCAAAAAAAAAAAAAAAAAGACAAAAAGAAACATGGTCAAAGTGATGCGCATCGATTGCGATCGTCATCGATCGATCATCGCACCGAAAAAGTTGGGACGGCAATAATTCGGCGCAGCTCGCAGACGAGCGCATTGACACAAATACAGTGCTTATAGCTCGGCGCGAAAAGAACAATGGAGCAAAGAAAGAAAAGGTGCACGTACGTATCGGGCATTCCAGAGCAGCGATCATCTCGCTCGTAAGATCTCGTAAGATATATCGCATCATGATGTATGTATGTGGATAAATCGGCTGCCCCCCACTCTCCTCGAGCTCCTCGCATCTTCGCATGCAGAAAGAGATGCAGAAGAAAAGATGCAGGTCTCGCGCGCGCGTTTTTTTTTCTTCTCCGTTTTTTCATGCACAGGAGCCGTGAGGATATTATATGCGAGTCAGGCAGCCCCTTGCGTGCGAACGAGTGGGGATATCGATGGACTGCGAGTGGATGCAGCAGCGGTGGCGCAACGGCCTTGGTATTACATATTCGCATGCCTCGCGGAGGTGGATATTCCCTATACGTTTCTACATGTTAATGATAATAATGCTCAAGATGCAGCAGCCTGTGTAAGCGAGTACGCGTGTGTGTGTGCGTGTGCAAGTCGGCTCGGTGTGGGCACGTGGAGACCAAAATCACGTTGATGACGAGGTGGTGGATGATGATCATCATCGGCGTTGTTTGTATGTGCTCCCGCTCGTGCATATGCAATACACAGCCGAACGAGCGTTCGGGGCGCGAAAGGTATATAACCAGCAGCCCGGCAGATGCTACCTCGCATTCGTCGTTTTGCTGAGTCAACTACCCGAGAGTGGTAGTAAGCATTGCTCGCTTTACCTGTGTCTCCGACTGTTGGTCTTCGGTACTGTGTTTTTTTATTGCTATCGCGAGCGATAGTGATTGACATTCTGCTATTTTTCAAAGTGCCGCAAAATTCCTTATCTCCAAATCTGCAAATCGGTATCGTGTACTTTATCATGAAGGTGAGTTTCGTACTTAAAATTGATAATCTTAGCGAATCCGTAAAAACTTGATCATTATTGGCTTAATACACCCCCAAAAATTTGAATCGAAAGATCATGAATAAAGTTTTGATTATTTTATCGGTTAAGCTGATTAAATTCATTTTAGAAAAACAAAATATTTCATTAAATGCAAATTAATTAATTAATTTTTAAATCTTATTATCATTTCAAGAATAAATGCAAATATTCCCAAGCGGTCAGACATTCATAATTATCTGATTCTCATTTTTAATAATTTTTTATTTTTTATTTGATTTTCATCGATTTACCTTTTTTGTATTATTTTTAACCCATTATTTTATTTCAATTGATCGTTCAATATTAAATTCCTCTCGAATTATACTTTAAAAATTATTCTTTAAAAATACCAAATTGGCATTATAAATAAGCGATAAAATTATCTAAATTTTAAGAAAAGGGTGATTGAACATTATTATAATTTTACGTTAATAATTTAAACCTATGTTAATTAAATTAAACTTAATTACAAGAATTTTTTATAATTCAAATATACTCCTCAGAATTTCTCCCCGTGAATGACTCAAGTTGTCTACAGGATTCGTAGAGTATATTATAAATAAACTAACTAGTAGGTAACGCATTTCTCTACATATCGTATCTTATGACTGACTAGTATAGCCTATAGTAGTGTATAAATCAACGATGAGCGGCATGTGTGTGCTTTTACTTGCAAGAATCACGTAAGCTATGTGTACCTATTACCTCTCATAGTAAATCAGGATACTGTGTGAGCCGCGTTATCGCTTGACATAATGAGAATATACATCTATATATAAATTGATGCTCGGCCAAGTGCGTGATTTTATACAAGTAGTTTGCATATATAATACTTTATTTTTAATTTTTATTACGGATCCAATTAATTAAAAAAATATTTTGATCAAGGTCTTTACTTCATTGATTTTACTTCAATTTTACAAATATCGTGTATAATTTATTCATTAGTTTAAAAAAATGTATGTTCACTCATAAAGTGAGGATCTGGATCAAAGTTGTACATTGGATTGAACAACTTACCAAAATCTTGGAAAATATATATTACACACAAAACATTAGTGTCATTGCTATTAGCGCATCCCAATAAATCTAAACCTTGCTCAATCACTCGCTTCATAGAGTGCATATTACACACGAGTGTGTCAATGCAACGAAGCGCTTAATGCCTCGTAATTACGAGCCCGTATAAACCTTCGTTCTCGCACAACTCAATTAAATGTATTACCTGCTCGGATTTTTGATACGCGTCCGATAATTCTCGGTAGCTTCTCATATTTACAAAAGGATGCGGAGCAGTACGCCGATTAAAAATCAGTTAAACGAACGATTTGTATGACTTTTCTGATCGATTTGGTAGTTTACACAGGGACTGCAGCAAGATGCACCGTGTGTCGAAAAGAGAAAAAAAAATACGAGCAAGTGTATCAGTCAAACGAAAGATGATACCCAATTCTTACGCAACTGCCGGTTCGCGCGCGGTACTCGCGTTGCGAAGAGAACGTGTTAACGAGCGTGCGCGATATTTTCTGCTCTCCTGGCGCGCAAAGCCATACGCCGCGAATATTATATTCACGGGCTGTGCGAGATTGATTAATTACAGAATATATAATGTATCAACGGGCAAAGACCAATGCGATATAATTTTCCGTGCGCCAAGCTCATTGTGCCGACCGCGATTTTAACGAGCCCTGCCTCGGACGTGATTTCGAGTTTTGTTCTTTTCCGTTTTTGTCTCCGTCTCATTGCTTTGCGTACGTATAATCGCCCGACAATGCTATTATATTTAACGCGGGCGATATTCATTTACGCTCATAAAATGCGATATGCTTGAATGCGTAATTATTAATACTTATACGCGATTTGTTTGTTCAAAGAAATGCCATTTTTATTGATTGTTTCGATATGCGTGGCGCATTCTCTATTTAATCTCTCTCTGTCTTTCTCTCTGTTCGGCTTCGTTCAAATCAAACATGATAATTATTGGATCAGAAATTTTTTTAACATTCCACTCTATTGTTCACGCAATGGTTGAAATGAAGAGTCGCGCACCTATCACCACTCGATCGAGAGAAAGAGAGCAACTCGCGCAATCGAAATAGTGTTAGGCTTTAATTAATTTTCAAGCGTGTACTACTAGGTGTGAGGAATTTTTAAAATCACATATGTTACGAAGACAGGATAAAAAAAATTGGAAATCATAGTTAATTTAGCTTTAATTTAGTTTTTTGATCAAACTCTCAGCAAAAAATCTCGATAAATATCGAATAATTTAAATCAAATTCAAATCAAATTATTCAAGTGCATATAAAGCTAATTTAATGTTTTATGCTTCGATTAAAATCAATACTTGCACTTGTTAATTTACTCCAACGCAATTGGATTCAAATTTTCATAAAGCTTCAAAAATGTAATTAAAGCCAATTTGTTCTCTTAATTAATTTGTAAATTTATTTCAAAGATAAATTTAAAATATATATCATCTCAGTCAATATCTTTCGGTAAAAAAGTCATGAGGTGTTCAATTTTTTTCGCTTCAATCGATTGGAACATGTATTTACCCATGCAGCCAACCCATAGAAATAGAGCAATCTAATCTCAAAGTTTTCAGACTCGTACGTATACGTACGAATGTGAACTCTGCTAGAAACACATTAACGGTAAGCTACAAGACTATTTGGAAGAATCCCTATAATTCTCATCCAAGCGAGCCAAATGAGAGTGTGTGTCGAGAATGACAAGTTTAGCCTTCGATAAACTTGCGCCTAACTTCTGAAACAGTGGGAACGAGTGTTAAAATTTTCTGGATTTGCATTTACCGAAAATTCAGCGAGTGTATCGTAATTTATAAGCTCGATATAAATCCCCGCAGATATCGATCACTAGAAAAACGATTCAATTGCTGCATGCGGCGGTTTTCGGCTACATCTCGATAACGTTGATGATGATTTCGCGCAGATAATTAATAGCCCAAAGATTCGATCGGCCTCGTACAAATTTCTCCTTTTTAAGAAAACATGAGCTTATCGGAATCTCGTGCCGGTATAATAAGGAGCAGAGTAATAAATAAATAAATAAGTACGACTGGGTTTGCACAATATTAGTTGCTGCACGCGTACAGAGTGCCTTTGCCGGGCTCGTGAGCTAAAAGAGGTCCATCACGAAATTAAAAGCAAAAGAGTTTACAAATATACCCACACATAGACAAAAAAAGGGACGCGCGTGTGTGTGTGTGCAAGTGGAAAAAGGCACGCTATGCGTGTGTGCATGTGCGAGCCCCTGGCAGCTCGGTACTACGCGTGTACATATTTATAAAAGCGAAAGGCGCGAAAAAAGATTGATTCCGCAGATTTTAATTCCAATTCTCGGTGCGCTGCTCCACGTGCGCGCTCGAGGATCTTTTTTCGAATCGTTAGACCGCCTGCAGCGGCAACCCACATCTGTTTATACATGCATGTGCAAGTTTCATCGGATCGCTCTTACTCTCTTGGCATTGCAAAATTCTCCGACGCGCGCCTGCTATCATCCTGTACTCCAAGCCGTTGCTCCTCTTCCAGCTTTTCTCTCGCTCTTTCTTTTTCATTTATAGTTCTTTGGGCTTTTTTTCTTTGACGCGAGGCGCGTGCGTTGCGTCAAAGTGCGGAATTGCGTCGTATACAAGCGCGGTAGCGGCGCTCCTGCGCACTCGATGTGTTTTTCACGAGTTATATGCACGTACTCGTCTTACCAGACTAGCTACGATAATGAGCCGGAGCGAGAAGCGATTTTTCACCTTCGTTTGTTTTGCTTTTTTCTCAACTTTTTCGAGCTTCGTACAAACACATTAATGGAGCCAAACGATGCTGTGAAATCTGCCTCCCAATTACATTAGTAGAATATAAATGTACTCGGCGTATCTGGAGCTGAAATCAACTCGTTATTTCTTTAGTGATTATTTTTCATACTAGAGTCATTATACTAATTAGGTAATTTTATTTGATCTGCGGCTATTTCAGATGAGGTTATTATCCACAATGGCGTTGCTGGTGACGCTCGCGAGAGCCGAGCCCCCAGTGAACAGCCAATACTTACCACCAGACCAGTCGTACGGTCCGCCGGGAGCACAACAAAAGCCGCCACCGCTTCAAGGTGGCGGAGGTGGCGGTAGCCGTCCAGGCAACGGAGGAGGTTTCGGTGGTTCCAACCAGTATCTACCACCCAATCAGCAGTACGGTGCTCCCAACGGTGGCGCTCCCAGTTCACAGTACGGAGCCCCCAACGCGCCCAGTTCTCAGTACGGTGCTCCCAACGGTGGCGCTCCCAGTTCACAGTACGGAGCCCCCAACGCTCCCAGCTCGCAGTACGGAGCGCCGAACGCCAACGCACCCAGCTCGCAGTACGGAGCCCCCAATGCTCCCAGTTCGCAGTACGGACCACCCGGTAGCGGACAGGGTGGCTACCCAGGAGGTGCTAACGGATATCCCGGTGGAAGCGGTTCCGGAGGATACGACGACGGCAGCAACGGCGTGAGTAATTTATCCAACAGATCGAATCGGTTTGCGAGAACTGCGATGCAATGAAAAATCAATTTCATCATTTTCAGGAGCCCGCCAAGTACGAATTCGAGTACACAGTCAACGACCCGCCATCGGGCAATGACTTTGGACACAAGGAGATGCGCGACGGTGACCTGACGCGCGGCGTCTACTTCGTCCTGCTGCCCGACGGTCGCCGCCAGATGGTCGAGTACGAGGCGGATCAGAACGGCTACAGACCAAAGATCACGTATATGCAAGTAGGGAACGGTGCGGACGGCGGCTACCCGAGCGGCGGCCCCGGCGGTGACGGCGGCTATCCCAGCGGTGGACCCGGAGGCTACCCGAGTGGAGGACCCGGCGGTTATCCCAGTGGCAGCGGCGGCAACGGTGGCAACGGCGGGAGTGGCTACCGCTACAAGTAATCCCCGACTGGAGAATGCGAAATTAGACGGGGCCGACGTGCAGTACTCGGAGTTGCGCGCGATCGACGAGGACGATTACACCTCGAACGACGACGAAATTTTAGTTTTTTCCTAGCTCCTTTCTTGTCGGGTTGTGTTGTCTGAGTCTGCCGAGATCTTTCGCTATAATAATTGTTCAACGTCTTATCTCGCGCGATTAAAAAAGTTTCGTCAGTTCATACCGTAGGTATGCTCGCGCGCATTATTTACGCCGCTGTATCTTTTGTTGAGAAATCGATCTATCGCGCGCAATAATCGCATCTTGCGCCGAAGGTGTCGCGCGCGCCATCGAGTGCTCCATCGCCGTTGTTATGTAAAAATTTTTTACTATTATATACCGATAGTTACCGTGACGAAAAAAGTCCATCGTTTTATAAAAGTTATTATATCTATTTACGTCTATACATATAAATATTAGCAAGTTGACTCATAAATAGACGATTTTGACTTTGATACGATAGGTCAAAGTCCCCACTGCAAATGCGATCTAAATATTTGCCCGCAGACTCGATCGTTGATTATCGGGTGCATCGAGTTTAAGGGCAAATGAAAAAAAAAGAATAACTCCTGTAAATTTATATCCTCAGACTTTTCACTCAACTTTTTCTACTTACTTATACATACTGCCTGATAGAATCTGTTATATATGTAATGAGTGCCGACAGCGGGTGTCGTATGTAGCTCAAATGGCTGTTCACTCTGTAACATATTATCTTATTTGTGTGTATGCTCATAATATTACATATTGTAAACAATGAGCGACGCGCCTAGACGTGCGTCGTTAATATTTTTATACTTTGCTATATTTATAGTCACACGCTATACATATGGTAGCAATAAAAGAAATGACGAAGAGAAGCAATAGAATGAGTATATCGGGGTTACGTGTACGCGTGTCTGCGAGTGCATTCAAGGAAATTGTGACTCGTCGATGAAGCACGAATGTTTAGAGGTAGGACACGAAAATAAGTGTATATTGACAATGTCAAACGTGTATCTCTTTATTCCATCATTTTAAAAAACATGTATAACCAATTAATATGCCGTTTGTAAAATATATAATTGAAAGCTCAGAAATTCCAAGCGTCATTTTTATTCGATCGCGCAGATCTACGTGCTCGAATCGACTGAAGCATTGCCTAACAGCGGCAGAGGCAAATATCTGCAAATATACCCAACCCTATCGAGCGCGCATAATATATAAGTGTGCATAAGGTCTAATTTCGCCGCGTGTCGAATCGTCTGCTTTCTATACTCGGTTCGGTATACAGATATATTTGCTCGTTGCAGCAGCATCGCGGCGCATTAGAAATTTTATATTGTACGCGATTTCATGCAAGGAGTTGCGCAAATTGATATATATAGAAATTAGTCGCTTAGCTATACATATGCGAGTGTGTAACGAGTGTGTACGAGGCGGCTCGACTGGAGCACATCAGCCTCTCGTGCTCTCTTCAGCCCGCGTAACTTAATAACGGCCGCGCGCGGCGCGTGCTCGACTGCTACTACGGAAACAGATAAGATGCATAATGTGTGCCGAGCGCGCGAGAAGCACGAGAATCATTACGTATAAGCTGTGCAGTGCCGATTTTTATCATGCTGCGTGGCAATTTGCATGTGTTTTTTTCGATGCTACGCTCGATGACGCCATCCGCCTGTAATATGTATATCTATGCGCGCGACGCTGCAAAGAGTCAATTTCACGGGGCGCCAAGATCGTGGCAATTTTTGGAGCTTCTGCGTAAAATCTGACAAAAGGATTACAAAATCGATTGTCATGGCGAAGAATTATAGCATCGGCACGCGCTCGTGTACTTCCAGCTATATGTATACGTGCGTATTGCAGTTGAGTACATAAGCTGGCGCGTGACGCGGGTCATTACCTTAATTATGGCGCAATGGTTATTTCAAAATTAAATCATAGCATTGTTCGAATTCGCAACGCGGCGTTGATATCCAATAAGCTTATTGTATTCTCGTGCGAGTCTCGCGTGTACGCGTGCATCGCGCGGGGCGAATTCCTTCGGGATCGAAATTAAAATGCGCCTCCGCACAGCCCTCGAGTGCATAAGGAACAAAACGCGTATGCACGCGTACACGCGCAGCCCGGCCGTATAATTCAAATTCATTAAATGCGTATTTATTATGTGCGTACGCAACGCAGACAAAGTCATATACACGGAGTGTACTTGTGTTGTAGCTGCGCAGCCTAACAAAATTCCACGGCTTAATGCTACGTATATACAGGTACACGCGTACATACAAGTGTATATACGTACGTAAATGTAATTCGCCGCTATGCATCGAGGTATCTGGCGCGGTGCATCTTCATCGAACCGTACGATCTCTCATTTTCTCTCTCCTTCTCTCCTTCTCTCTCTCTCTCTCTCTTTCTCTTTCGAGCAGCGGGCTCAGAAACCTTCGTACGTATATACCTATGGCCTATATAAAACACGAGTACATTTCCATGTACGCCGTAGTAATTGAAGACCTCAGGAATTTGTGTATATACATAAGCTGTGTTTTGTTATATATTGTGTGTATAGGATTCAAGCGAGATTGTGGGCAAAGCGGAGGCTGTGTGGAATTAAAATTCGATGAAATTTTTGCATCTACTACACCGTACGCGTGGCTAATTATATAACCGATTACAATGTGTAGTACCGCGGCGCTTATTACGAAATTGAAACAATAACACTAAATATTTTCTTTAAGCTTTTTTTCTTTATTTACAAAAGTCTAGCTATAGTCTATTACGAAGAATTAAATAGCTACGTTAAAATAACATACATTATACGTATTCGTTGCTTTTCTATCTTAATAATGCCCTGTACAATTATTTATCGAGTATCATCAAGAGTTATTTCTAAGATACATCATGAACAAAATTTATGCTAAAAATTAAGTACAAAAATGCAAAATTGGACTGAATTGAAAGATTAAGGGTGTATTTGATAAAAATACTATACAATTAGCGTCACGTATGCGACTGACATGTGTGGTAGACTTTGGATTCGCACGTATACAATAATATATTAGCGTATACAGTTGCATCACTCGATTGAGCAATGATTTTCGTCAATAGCGAGCGTAATCGAGGCTCTCGGCATTGGGCCCGTAGCCTAAGCTCGCTTGAAACTGTGGCTGCAGTGGCTGCTGCTGGCGAAGATCCTGAATGGTCGGCGGCGGCGAGGCGGACGCTTGCAGCACGTTGGCGGCCTCCTCGTAAGTGATCCTGGGCACGAAGCCGTGCTCGTCGGCCTCGTAGCTGACCCTCTGCTTGCGGCCGTCGGGCAGCAGCACCGAGTACGAGCCCTGAATGCGCGCGCCCTGGCGCTGCTCCTTGTGGGCGAAGTCGTTGCCGAACTCGTCGCTCACCCTGTACTCGAAGTTGTACTTGGCCACGCTTTCCTGTCGTAGTCAAGGGGCAAAAACACGCGTCGTCAGAGTAATTTTACGTCGTGCGCTTAACTAGTGACCAAATCTTACCGTAGAAGTTGGCGCTGCGTACTGATAGTTGGGGCCTCGAGACGCGATAGCGTCGTTAATTTCCGTCGCAGTGGTAACTGCTGTCAGATAATTATCATCCGTGAGGTTAATGCCGGGCTCGTTGCTCGCAAGTGCGCGAAACTTTGGCTGCTGCTGCTGCCGTTGTTCAGTCAATCTGTCTTCGGTCCTGTAAGGGGGCGAGAGACTCGTCGGTGGCAAGTACTCGTTTCTCGGATCGATTACGCTCTGTCTCGTACTGCTCGCGATGACTTGCGTCGGAGACAAATACTCGTTTTTCAGCCTCGTGGGTGGCGTCGCGGTAGCGAAGAAGCTCGGTCTCGTCGGACTGACCGAGGACGGCGGCAGATATTCCGAGCCGAAGGTGGTCGCTGCCACCCCCAGCATCGTCGTCGTCGTCGTCGTCGCTGCCGTTGCCGTTGGTGCAGCTGGCAGATACTCTCGACTCGGAGGCAAGTACGAGGAGCTCGGGCTTTGCCTGGGCGGCAAGTACTCTTTGGAGGGTGGCCGAGGCTTGTCCATCACGGGCAAGTAGTTGATCGATGGCACGACATCGTTGCTCGTGGCTTGTACTCGTCCTTGAGCGGATAATAGCTGATGCTGCTGATGTTGCGACGAGCTCGGATTACGATTGGTCTTTGAGTCTCGAGACGTCGTCGTCGTTGTCGTCGTCGTCGTCGCCGTGGCCGTTGTCGGCAGCAGCGGCGGCGGCGGTGGTAAATACTTGCCGACGAAAGCACTCGGCCTACTTGCTTTGAGGCTCGGCTGCGCTGCTGCTGCTCCATCGTAGCGGTAGGGGTAGGACGAGTGCGTCGTCTCTGCAGACTGACCGAATCCGATGGGCTCGAGGCTCGCCAACGTCGCTGTCACCGATATCGACATCAATACGATGCCGAACATCTAACGAGGTGAACGAATTAGCAACCGTTACAATTAGCCACAGCTTTATTCGATTCGATGGAAACGAATTAAAACGAGTGCTTATTAGTGCGAGCTCCGAGTGCTAGTGCAGCTGTCTTACCTTCATGTTCTCGGCGGCGAGTCGCGAGTTGCGAGAGCGTCTCTCGATCGGAAATGCGTCGCTCGATACTCGAATTGCGAACAATGGCCTGCCGTTGCTGCTCTTATATTTATATACAATCGGTCCGCGGGACGAGTATCTCTCTTGCTCGCCTCCCTCTGCAATTCGACCACGTACCACCTCTATGTGCGTATCCCGCGGAAAACGTTGTCGTACAGTCATCCTTCCAGTTCAGTACAATGGGAGTCACTGCGCGGACCCGCAGATCAGTAGCATATATCCAGGATAGTTAGGCTCTAATGGTTTTCTTATTCACTTCTTACGCATACAGTAGTATATTCGCTTACTTGACTCGAGCGAGATCCTATAAAAGTATCTACAAGAACAATTGACGATGATGACGTGCTGCGATTGGAATGGCTAACTATGATAATGTATTCTTCGGTACTATGTAGCACACGTCGATTCGAAAATTAATTAATCAAAATTGATTTCTAATCGATGCCATTTGTATAATTTGTATAAAAACAGATGCGCGAATTAATATTCATATGCAAAATTAATTTTCAGAAAAATAATTCTTTCAATTTTCTTATTACAGTAAATAATAAAAATTAAAAGATGAAAAAACGATGAGTAAAAATCCCGATTGATTTCTCTTATGGTAAAAAGATAATTTATTCATATTTTCATGAATTGCATTAAATATTTATATTAGGAGAAAAAAATTGTGTGGTCAAAAAAGTAACGAATAAATTATGCTGCGTAATATTGATTTATTGGTTTTAAATAACAGATATCTTTATGCAAGTGCATAAATATGTGCATCAATTTTAATAGAAAAACAAATTTGTTCAAATTGCGTTTTGATAAATGTGCTTCTTCTCCCCCTCTCTCACCTCTCGACAACATAGTCCTGCTTGATATGTATATGTATTATATATAGAGGGTAAATAAAAACGAACGGGTTACTCTTACGCGTATACATATAGCGAGGAATATCCAATATCATCGAAAAATAAATATTCATTGGAGTCGGCTGAACCCTATATCGCCGTACTTTGTGTGTGTGAGCGTGAATAGGTATACAATGTACGTATACGAGGTGCGCACTTGTGTGTATAAATATATGTATGTATATATTGTGGAAGGTATACTCGTGATAGAGAAAAAATAAAGATCGACCAGCGAGCGCGAGAAGCAGCGACGCAATATAGCGTGGCGTTCAATCCGAACTTTATTGACGCAGACACATATCTGGCTGCTGCTGCTGCTGCTGCTCCGTGTGTATATATGCACCATATATGCATGCGCATACATCGAGTAAAAATATCGAGATAACTCCCGATCTCGCTGGCTACTGCCGCCACTGTCCCTGGCCACACTCGCACACACACACACACACACACACACACACACACACACACAGAGGCATACGGCGATCGCCTTTATGCTCGCCTAGCATATACATATCTACGAATAGAGGTAAAGATTGTTGGATCGAGCTGTATAAGCCGGTGTGGTCGTGCGATAGCTCGATACCGTCGGAAAATAGGGAACAGAATCAGCAGCGGCAGCGCTGGCAGGGCGACGATAAGTCGCATAAGCGGCGCCAGACACAGACTTCTTAGCCTGTCCAGTCTGCTTGTACGTAATCCTCGGGCGAAAGCCTCGCTCGTCCGCCTCATATTCGACCAATTGAAGACGACCGTCTGGCAGTAAAACGTGGTAAGAGCCGCGAGTCATCGAGCCGTGCCGGCGCTCCTGTTGACCGTAGAACGACGGCGATGTGCTGTGAAATGCGTTTCTGCCAGAAGGTGCCTTCTCGTCTCTCACTGCGTACGAGAACGAGTAGTCCGCTGTTGGATATGTCTGTCCGAGTTTCAAAAGACCATTTTAATTTCTTTTTTTTTTTGCTCGACTATTCGAGAGAATGACCAGAAGTATTTGAATCCTTACCGATTGCTGACGTCTCAGAATGTCCTCCAAGTCCGATGATGAACCTGACGCTGGAGGTAAATATGAGCGATTCGGTGGCTCAGCTTCTGAAGGTAAATACAAGCGATTGGGTGGTGCTTCGTAGCTGTATCCCGAAGATGGTTCGAGACTGCCCAAAGCTCCGCCGATCATTATTGCAACGCACAAGACCGGGACCTTTAACAATTTTTTTCAATGCAATAACTAAATGGAAAATCTCAAGCGTGGATGAACGAATATTTATTTTACCTGCATATTATTTTCAGAGAGTACTACTGTATGAGTCGACTGAAGTACTGTTCACCATAAACTGGCTTGATTTTAATTTTTTCGGATATTTATATAAAATTACTGCTTCATTTTATGCCCACTCCTTTTTCGATTTTGTGTGAGCACGCAGGGCTCATCGCACCATGAAATTAATTCTTCTTGTGATATCATGGAATCAGCACCAGCAAAATATTCGTGGTTGCAAGAACAAAGTGGCTAACGAGAGAAAAAAATTGCGAATAATATAAGTCAAGGTCAAAATTGTTCCTGAAATTTTAGGTATTCATACGGAAGATTGCAAAACCATTTTATCATTTCATAGATAGCAAATCTGCTCTTCAATGTCTACTTTAAAACAATGCGCCGATTAAAGTTACATAAATTGGATATGAGCTTACTTGATGCTATCGTAAATGGTCCTCATTTGGTATTTAAGAAATATATTTTTCAGTTTCAAGCCTGTTGAAAATGTCTAAGCAAAATTATGTTTACAAATTACTACTATATGCAAATGCAGACGAGCATGTGCTACTGAACGAATTCATAAACATAGATATGCGTATCATCAGTTCGTTTATGCGAAGCTCGTCCTTCAAAATCCTCATTTTGAAAGCCCTCGATATTGTTTTCACAGTCGCTGCTTTGCATATCGAACTTTGGGATAAATTTGGACACTGCACATACACAGGCGGAACTCGCTTTCGCTTCTCACGTGCACATGTGTACTAAAACTCAAAAACAAGTGGATGCGCATATATGCGCATACAGACGTCGAGTCTAATGAGTTTAAGTAAACTCTCTCTAGTCCACAATCGTAAAAAAACAACTTTGCCGCAAAAATTAAATTTTGCACAGCTGAAAATAAAAAAAAAAAAAAAAAAAAAACCNTTTTCTGAAAAAAAAAAAAAAAAAAAAAAAAAAACTGAGGGTAAAAAAGCGGATAATCCGGCGTGGGTCTCGTTCGCAGAGGATCGAAACGGCTCGGTAGTGTGGACTGTGCGGGAGCAGGGGGCACTTGTGCGAGCAAAAAAGCGAGAATTTTTTCACCGGCAAATAAAAATCAAACTCGATCAAACGTGCGCTCCGCTAAACTATTGGACAGCGGCTTTGGCATATGAGCTCGAAACGCTCGTGTAGTGTCGGCGCTGACTGCGAGCTGTAATGGTACACGAAATGCAGCCCTCGTAAAAGCATCATCCTCGATACGTAAAAAACACGCACTCGGCGCCTGACGATCCCTCGGATAGGCAACTAATGTTGACGCATCACTTTTTAACTCACCCCCAGCTCGCGCCGCTGCGCAATGCCGCGCTGCAACGGCACACATGCAGGCCTATATGTGCAGCACGAGGCCTGCTAAAACATCGGCCAAAGAGAGGCCAAGGGAGAGTGCAATCCTTGCAGTTTACTTTTCAATTTGCCGAAGCTTTATCCCGGTCAAAATGAACGATTAAAAGTTTCACCAGAAACCACTAGAGTGGCGGGGGTACGGTGCGAGTCACACGCGAGCTCTTTCTCGCTTTCGACGGCCTATACGTATGGGAGTTTCAGCGATCTACCTACTTGACTCGGTGCTCATACATATGCGCTGCGCATCATACAATTTCCTTCAATGAATCTTTCTAGCCCCTGTGTATTCGCGTACACATCGTCGGCAAACCACAACCGCGCTTGCTGTGTGCGAAGAGTTTTCCATGCGTTTATGAAAAATCACTTTTTTAAATATACATAAAACGCTAAATATATACGAGACGAGTCGTACATTTTTTAACGAAAAATGCTTTCAAGCGCGCTAGGCCTGTATTGCACTCGCCCATAAGCACACACGCACTTATATTCTCTACCTATACGCTAGCGCGCATGGAAAATCCTTTGAATACCAGGTGGTTTACTTCGGTACGTGTGTATGTTTTATACGTAAAAGCCTAAAGCGCAGAGCTGGAAGTTTGTAACTCTGAAAGCGAGCTCAGTACATGGCTGTATATGTACACATATAGGCGAGACTGACCAAGCTGCCAGGCTCAAACGAAGCAAAAGCATTTCTGAAAATAAACTTGGTTGTTTATTATGTTATCAGCGGTACAAGCTGCGCAGTACCCAATTTGCAACGCATGCTTATTTTAATTTTACCTTTCATAATGTGCATCAATGTGTATTTCTGCCTAATAGTACGAGAGTAATCACTCAATTATGTACGGTAACCATCGATTTTCTATTTTTGCAACGAATCGATTGTAATAGATATGCTAATGCTGAAATCCAGTGTAGAGTAGTTTAATAAAATTATTCATTAATACTATGCAGTGTCTTCATAGGTATCTGACTTACTTTTTATCTTATAAGAAACTTAATCTAGGAGGAGATCTAGACAAAGTTACATTTACTATTTTGACGATATATTATTTAATTGTCTACTAAGAAATTCGGAAATTGACAACCACATCAAATATGCTGTGAAAGAACTAGGATATCTTATTAGATATTGAACCATGAAAAAAAGTGAACAATTATTTGATATAAAATTTTTCCAAATAAAAGGTTTTAGTGAACAAGGAGATTTAATTTGTAGAATCAATAAAATTCAAAGATTTTCAAGCCTTTATGTTGGGAAATCCACAAATATGTACTTTTAAAATAAAATGATACGTATATAAAATTTTAATTTCATTGTTATTTTTATATTATACTCAATAAGTTAAAATAAGATATAACGGCATGAAACCTTCATTTGGCACAAATTATTTTCTTGTTTTAGATCAGATAAGTACATTAGAACCGATTTGATTCCTAATCCGGTTCAATTTTGAAATTTTCATTGAGTTTATACATTTTGACAAACGATAGCTGATACGTTTCCGAAAATATCATGAAATTGCAGTCTACATTTGCAGTCAGTCACTTGGACTGTTTTTAGTTCATAGTGGATAAAGCAGTGTCGCAACGAATCGACACTAAAAAATAACGCCCGCCGAAGAAAACAGGCGAACAAATTGTAGAATATGTCTTTCTCTCTCTTACTTTCGAGACGTACATGGCGGCGGCGGCAGAGTACTCTTAGGAATGTCATAAATCACGCTGTCAAATCAATCGGCAGCATTTGGTCCTTTTTCTCCTCTCCATCTGACGTAGTCGTTTCCTTTAGGAAAAACGGCGTTTGAAGGGGGTTGCCGCGTCGAATTTATTATCGTCTCGGCTGGTGGTGCTAGTGCGAATTCAGTTTTAACAGCAACAGAGAGCAGCCACGGCGTACAAAATTTACCGTTTATGGCTGGCACCCCTCACCCCCGCAGCACGTATATACATACATACATACGCGCGCCAGGCAAGCACACACACAAACTAAGAGCGAGCGAGACTTTATGCTCTCGCGTATATTACCCCTTTTTCTGACACCACTCTGGGAAAATGGGCCTCTGCCGAGCATGCGTTGACTCGTTGATTTAGAAAAATAAGATGAAATTTATGATATTAGACGGGAGAAGTGTTGGTGCTCATAATGGAAGCATAAGCCATGTGCTAGGATTAATCAATTTTTTGTGTCACTTGTTCGTTAGTGTGATTAAAAGAAGAATTTTTTAATAAGAAAATCGTCTCACTTGACATGAAAATTTTCTTTCAAATTTACGATGATTTATTAATTCATTGAATCATTGCTACTTCAAAATGAAGAAATAAAATAGGATTGAATTTGACAGGGCATGCCAAGCAATTGCCGAAAGTCTAAAGTTGGCCTTGCAAAACATGTACTACAACTGACTTCCTTCGAAAGTGATTTTTTCCTCATTATTCTGCGAAAATATTAACAGATCTTTCCTGTTCACGAAGTCGTCGGTCTGTCGAGGATACGGACAGCACAGCAAGTAGCAGTAACGAATCCAACAAAGCGAGGCTCAGTCGAGTTGCTTCTATGTGTCGCAATTAAAACAAGGATTTCGAGCGTGATGCGTGCTTCTGCGATATGGCCATATTCGTATATACAGTGGACTAGGTTGGATACGCGCAAAAGAATTGGTTTCGCAATAAATAACAACGCCTGTAAACGTCTCGCAAGTTCTCCAATAAAGAAAGATAAAAGGGTCAAGTAACATGTAGACAAAGCGACGCTTTTCCTGCTTGAATGCACACAACTGCAAGATGCGGCGCGCAAAGAGACACACACACGTACATGTGTATACGTGTAACTGCGAAGGGCGCACTTCGCCGTTCCGACAGTCAATTTCGTCGGCAATTGCGCAAGTCTCGAAGGTTGGCCCGATGCTGGGTATATCTGAACTTGCCTTCTAGTTCGAGTCGATAATATGATTCAATAGACGGCTTCGCTCTGCGACGTGTTCGAGCGCTTGTCAATAAGATCCCACGAGCTAGCGAACAATCAACGCCCGAAATCGGAGAAACTATGTGCACGTCGCTCGACATATATTGGCGAAAGCAAAAGTAAGTTTTTGCCAAGTTACACGTCGTAACACGCGTTCCCGAGGATGGAATAATTTGCATTGAATAGACCCTGCGATCTGTGTTATATGTACACTGGGCTCTCCCCCCCATTCGGCAGCGTAGCGGAAAATTTTCATTAGCATAAAAGCTGCGCGTACACGCAACGACAATGGAAACAAGTTGTTTTGCGCGTGGACGTGAATCGGCTCATACCCAGTTTAATTGATAGTGAGAGGTTTGATACGACAAATAAGACGGCTCAATTCACCGAGTATAAATGCCCTTTGGATGCGTCGCGATAAAGAGATATTAGCCGGGAAAAGCTCGACGACTGATAGTCTGGGCTGAAATCAATTGCTCGATTATGTCTACTTCTAATTGTCTCTTTGACGATTTTTAATTCAAAGAAAGTAGCGACGACTCGTAGTCAAACGACGCCCGATTAGTAT